TCAAACATGTTTGATTTTCTCCCAGCCTTACCATTCCTGATTGGGAGGTGTTCGTTAGAGGCTGATCGCCCCTTGTTACCCCTTTCGAAAAATTCTCGCACTACCGGAGAATCGGCCCGAAAAGGGCAAAAAGTCACACAGTGCATGCCCGACTTTAGCGGGATCATAATTCTGATGAACTGATGAACAGAGGATGTTTGGAGGTGGACTTTCTCCCTTAAAAATAAAGTCAATAAAGCCAAGCTGATCTCTAGCTTGAAGCTAAAGAACAGAGCAGAAAAAACAACCAGACCACATTGCTGAGGGTCTGATCCGGTGTGACCTGCTGGTTGGTCGGCTCCCCTTGGTGGTGCAGAGCACTTCTGTTTTGTGTTCTTAAACTTGCTGGTATTTTTTTTTTGCAGCACTCTTTCTTTGTTTTTGTTTTTTTGTCTGGCCCTTGGTTGGCCCTTGGCTAGTCCTTGGCTGGCCCTTGGCTGGCCCTTGGCTGGTCCTTTGTTGGTCATTGGTGGGCCCTTGGCTGGTCCTTGGTTGGTCATTGGTGGGCCCTTGGCTGGTCCTTGGTGGGCCCTTGGCTGGTCCTTGGTTGGTCATTGGTTGGCCCTTGGCTGGTCCTTGGTTGGTCCTTGGTTGGCCCTTGGTTGGTCCTTGGTTGGTCCTTGGTTGGCCCTTGGTTGGCCCTTGGCTTCTCCTACAATTCCTTTTTAAACATCATTCTTTGTACTAAAATATTCTTTCTGTCATGATTTGTGGACATTAAGATCTAAAGAGAAGAATAATCTCCTGGTCAGACCCTGTAATTCAGTGAAATGGTGGAGTCAAAGTAAAAAATATATATGCAAGAGGGGGGATCACAGCAGTGGCTGGAAGTTGGAGGGGATTTTGCTGGGAGTTGTAGGGAAGTGTGCTGCCATTCGGCTGCCGTTTGACTGGGAAGGGCCATTTTGAATGGCTGCTTCTGTATCTCGGTGTTTTCTGGGTTTTTTTCATCATCCATGTGTTTGCACCTTTAAAAGCTCGGGTCAGAAAAAGTCAATCATCTGTTTTCATCTGCTGAGTTTAAGCAGGATATCTTCAGAGGTGTCCAACGTTTTCCGCTCTCTTTCCAGGCGGCTCGTCTGCGATGCGGAAGGAGGTCATCCGGAACAAGATCCGTGCCGTGGGGAAAATGGCCCGCGTCTTCTCAGTTCTCAGGTCAGACTCTGATTTACTTTCCTTCCTGTAGAATGTTATTCTGTAGCATAAAACGCTGCATGGCTGGCAGCGCTGGGGCTTCTATAACACACGGGTCAGCCGAGTTCACAGCAGCAGCAGTTAGTGCTGATCACACACTGCAGGAAAAACTCCCATTTAGTTTTACTCTAAGTGCATTATGGGAGGGAATTCAAGTGTTTTTTTTATTTAGAATAAGTGCGATGACACAGATTTTATCCGAATCAGTGGTGGAAAATGCTCTTCAGCTGCTAAAGTTGTCAGTGACCCACTTCCAGAAGCAGGACATCAGTTTGTGTTTGCATGCAGGACAAACGTCCTCAGAGGAAGCAAACGACGGAGATCAGCGCTCTGACCCACATGTCTCTGTTTGTTTGGCTATTAGGGAGGAAAGTGAAAGTGTGCTGACACTGAAAGGCCTCACCCCGACCGGAACCCTTCCTGTGGGAGTGCTGTCGGGGGGGAAGCAGACCCTGCAGAATGGTAAGAGCTCTCTTTCATTCAGCCTCTAGCTGAGTTAATCAGTCAGCTGCTAAATTTGTTCCATCAAAGTGCTCAATGTGTTTAAGTTGGATTTTATTTAAGAATTTAAATAACGACGCGCAGCGTTGGATTTATTCCTGTT